TTTTTTTTTTTTTTTCCTCCCCCAATGACCGACATCTTGCTGAATTTTAGAGTTACGAGCACATAGGGGAGAATTCTCCGGTGGTCGTAAAAAACAGGCTTATTTTTTTTTTTTTTTAGAGTCTTGTTTTCGTCGGGAGCGCGTGAATCTTTCAACACTGGCGTAAATTAGCTGCAAAAGTTTGCCGTAGGAGTGTTAAAAGGAAGCGATGTAGGTATTTTATTTTATTTTATTTTCGTAGCAACGCGAAATAAAAACGTGGGCCCGTTCGCCCGCAACAAAAACGAATGATTCCCGCGTCATTTTATATCACTTTTACTACATGCAGCACTGTTTTTTTTTCATCTATTCACAATACTGATTGCTTATGGTTTCATCAAAGGGAATCTCGAAAAAAAAAAAAAAAAAAAAGAAAAAGATTGTACTTACGTTGGCTGCTGCTCCTCCTGATGATGTTCTCCAAAAATGTATTTTGAGGGGCTACCAGGCCCCTTCGGCCCCCGGGCATCCTTTCACCACCTTGGGACGTCTCCTTTAGCCTATCCCCTCACCCCGCCCTCTCCGTCGATTCGAGCGAGCGCGACCTCATCGTCGCACCTCCAAGGGGCTGGGACCACCTCCTCAAACATTCGCACTCGCGCACAACGACCTTATGAGCAACCACGGGGGAAGCGGACAACCACCTCAAAGAAGATCCCCTTTTCTCGCGTTATGTCGTTGCTCTTGTTCGACACTCACGAAACACCACTCGCGATCGTCGACTTTTTTTTATTTATTTATTTTACAATCGATTTTTCTTTCTTTCTTTCTTTTTTTTTTTTTTTTTTTTTTTTTATCAATAATACTATTAATTTTTAACAACAGTAGGCCTGGCGACGGCCTCGAAACTTCCTCCCAACGGAAAGATCACTCGCGGCGTACTTGTATGCTTCTTCTATATCTCGCGATCGCACTTTTTTTTTTTTTTTTTTTTTGCTCCCGACGAAACTTGCGGCCTCTTCTTCTTCTATATTTTTTTTCTTTTCTTTTCTTTTTCTTCTTTCCTACAGTGACGTGCGCTGGCTTCACTTCGATTTCAGCTGAGAGACGTTCGGTTCGTGCGTGAGTCCCGGCTACCGCGGCGATGGACGTGCTGACTGACGCACCATGCACAGAAGGAAATTGTAAAATTATTTCGACGAAGGAATATCTATCTCATTTTCCACTCTAATGCTTACTTTTCAATTTAAAAATCGTTCTTGGATTATGATTCATATACGATTTTTTTTTTTTCTTTTTCTACTGGAGTGCGGCGCACGGATAAAACTTTACATCAACGAAAGTTACTCAAGTATAAGACTCTCTTTTCATCATTCGATGAATCAAATTAATAGTCTCAGGTCATTAATTTCCCTCTATTTTATTGTTAATGATGTAACTTTCTTTTTAATGACGTTACTTTAACGTGTTTCAAGCGCTATGCATGATAAGTGTATAGATGAGCTTCAATAATAATTTTACATCAAAAGGTGACGAGCGTCCAAATAACATTTAATTAAAATATTCACTCGTCAACTTGTGGAATTGATTTTTTTTTTAATCCTTACGAAAAAATGTTGCACAACAAAATAAAAAAAAATAAAAATAATAATATACACTGATGAAATACAAGGAAAGCACTAAGTGTAGTTTGACCATACGATATATGATTATTCACGAAAGATGGTCATCTTGAAACAATTGAAAAGCATTTGTAAAGTTAAATGATACTTTTTGTTCACGAGATACAGCAAAAACAAACTATTAAAGTGCACAAGGTTGTATATACCTGGTGCACCGTAGAATTGTTCATTGTGAATTCTTAAAATGTTTTATCGAGCTTGCAAGCTCAGGGTTTAGTGAATGTGTAGCGAGTTTGGTTTAAAAACAAGCTACAGACGGGTAAAAGTGACAGCGCAAAGCGTATGTGAGAGGGGGGTTGGGGAAGTACCTTGGGATCAGCTGAGTCGTCCGAGGCTCGAGTGGCGCATGGGCCGCGGGGTCGTCAATGGCAGAGAGCGAACGAGGCGCGCGGGGCTGGGTCGAGCCGACGAGGACGATGGGGCTCGAGGCGATTCAGGTGGCCCTGGCGCCCAGGAAAAAGCCGAGTCCCGCTCGGTTCTATCCGCAGTCCATCCAGCAGGAGGAGGACAACGACGCGGACGACAAGGATGGGCAATGAAAGGCGGGCCGTGCCGGTCCACGCGCGAGGACTCTGCTTCTTCGCCGCGGCTGCTCTTCCACTTTCCTTGCTGCTAGCCTCGACATTCTCGTTGACGCTTGCCCCGGAGCTGCCGCCGCAGGTGCAGATTGTGCCACGACAACTACCGGAACTGCGGGTGCCCAAACTACCCCCGATGCCCACGATGCGGATGATCCACGGGCCCGTAGCTGGGTGCGTCAGTGGGTAACGACGAGCAGTTACGGCCGAGCTTGTTGTCCGGCAACAACACCAACAACAAGAGCAACAAAAGGTTACGGCGGCAACCAAGACGAAGGTAATGCAGCCGGGCGTCGCTTGCATCCCGCTTCAAATAGACTAAGCGGCCGGCCGCGCCAGCGCAACCAGCCGTCCCCGCTTCACGTTGTTATTTTCATTGCGCGATCCGTCCACCATCCGGACGCCAGCGGGCTTATTGGGTGCCGATGCCCCTGTTTTCCTTCCGGGAGATCGGGGCAAGACGATTACCCGAGCGACTCCTGTAATCAACAAAGTTGGGCTGCATGAGACTCTCTCCCTCTCTGGGGATATGATCTACCCAAAATGCGTTTACTTCGCTATGCGAATCGATATGTTGTAGCGTGGGGGTAATTTTTCCGAAGGAACAGACCGCCCTTTCGTAGATTTTGGGGCATTATTGTCAATTTAAGTTTCTTTCTTTTTTTTTTTTTCACCTCAACCATCTGTTTTCGGCCAAACTACTCCCACGCTCGATATTTGCAATAATAATTTCGTTTCGGTTGAAGCTGCCGTGTGGCTATCAAAATATCACCCCTTTGTCTTTTCGTCGAATCAATACCGTCGTAAGCTTCTACGGAGGTAACTCTACTGGCCGCTCACTTGGAAAAGCTTCTCGGCAATATCGTTGGTTCATTGGTGGAATAATGTTTGTCTGAGCTTAATAAGCATTTTCGTATCGTGTATATATATATATACATTATAAACGGTGAGATTGCTTCTCCAGAGCTCTGGCGTGCACGTCCGGAAGGGTTGATACTCTCGAGCTTCAGCCGCGACAAGTT